GACGTTTCCGACCCTATAAAGTATATATATTCTTGATCAGCATCACTAGTAGAGTCGATCTAGCCATGTCCGTCTGTCCGTCCGTCTGTCCGTCCGTCTGTCCGTCTGTCCGTCTGTCCGTCTGTCCGTCCGTTTATATGCAAACTAGTCTCTCAGTTTTAAAGCTATCTGCATGAAACTTTCCCAAAAGTTGTCTTTCTATTGCAGGTAGTATATAAGTCGGAACGAGCCGGATCGGACGACTATAGCATATAGCTCCCATAGGAACAATCGGAAAAATAATTGAAAAAAAATTATAACTTTGCTGTTTTTTAATTTTTTGTTTTGTTCTTCGACATAGAGCAATGGTTAAATATTTTAGAATTATGGTTAAAATTTCATCAAAATCGGACGACTATAGCATATAGCTCCCATAGGAACAATCGGAAAAATAATTGAAAAAAAATTGTAACTTTGCTGTTTTTTAATTTTTTGTTTAGTTCTTCGACATACTGCAATGGTTAAATATTTTAGAATTATGGTTAAAATTTCATCAAAATCGGACGACTATAGCATATAGCTCCCATACAAATAATAAAAATATATAAAAGAACAATCAAATAATTAAGCTGCAAATCGTCATAGCTTCAATGTTTTTAAACATATTCGCAAGTAAATCATAATTTTAATGTTTTCAAAAATATTTAATTCTTGCGATAGCTGCAAGGGTATATGAACTTCGGCTTGCCGAAGTTTGCTTTCTTTCTTGTTTGTTTTAAATGTTGTCATTGCAAAGTTGAATTCAGCAATACATATTCATAAAATGTACCGTCAAAAGGATTACAGAAATCAAAAATCTAAGTGTTTGAGTTATCGGTTCAGGCTTTCCTTAAAATTATTTATTTTTTGCCATTGAGGTTTCTTGAAGCCAAATCAACTTAGCCTATTTATACAGCATAGTAAGAATATTTATTAAAAATGTGAGTGCAATTGCTTTACAAGATATTGCACTGCTTTGATTCCTAGCATTTAAACGGGAAGAAGATTTATAAAATAGTTAAATATATATGTGTTCATAGTTTTGTTTGTCAAGAGAAAAACATTTTTTATTTATTTATAAAACTTCTTTGAGATGTTAAGTACTGAGGTACTTTTGCGCTTCTTTCAGTGCAGATTGCAGACTGCAACTCGCACTGGGCAAGTGTGGCATGCAATCAGGCGCCAAATGCTCAAGTGTCTCATTGTCAGCGTGTTGCATGTGCAGCGCGGGGGAATGGACGAGGGAAAATAAAGTAAAATGAACAGCAGCAGCAAAAATGTTAAAGCAAGTAAATAAACATTGTGCGCCATTATCAGGCACTGTCAGCAGCAACAGCAGCAACAGCAGCAACAGTAGCAACAATCAACAGCACCAGGCAACATAATTTGCAGTTGCAACTGAGAACTTTTCAATGGTTTGAAGCTGAAAAAGCTGACAGGACCTCCTGCCCCCAGAAAATAAAAGGGTTGAGCAGGCACGAAGGCAACAGTGCATGGCAGGCACGGTGGTCAAAAATATTACCTACGCTTAAAATGTCATCTTACCAATAATCTATTAATCAACATAAACAATTTCGGGCAAATGGTCATGAAAGCTTACACAATAAATATTTTCTTATTTGGAGAGGTATATAAAATAATGTTGCAGAAAGTTTCACATTTATTTTGCAAACATACTGTTAAACTATATTTAAACATATCAAGCCACACTTTTAATATATCACTTGTAAACTTTAAATTTTATAACGTTTCAGAATCAAATTAAATTTGTTGGTTAAATATATTGCTTTTAAAAACATCTGAATTAAATGTTTTTGGAACATTTTCAAATTTTAAGAGACGACCATATTTGAGTGATAAAATATGTTGGGAAACTCGTTTATAAGATTAGTTTCGGTGTTGATTTGTGGTAATTGTTTTTGATCATACAAATTGGTAATTAAATGTATATTATTAATTGCTCGAAATTGTTCCACTGTTCGCAGGGCGTGTAGCTGCCGGGAAAGCCCATTGCCTGGCATAGAGCCCGGATATGCCGGCGAACCTGATACTGTACTGCCTGTGTGCATGTGTATGAGTATGTGTAGGTAAGCTTGCTAGGGTGGTCCAAAAAACCAATAAATTCTTTTTGAAGTTTTACTAGTTGGCAATAGGTATTAAAGTTTTATTTTAAAAATTACGTATACGACACGTCTGCCAATTAAAATTATTAAGAACTAAATCTTTGTAACCTCTTCCACTTACTGATATTATTCAAATTAATAAAATTATAAAGAACAAAAGAAATACATTTAATTAAAAATAAAACCAAGTCTATTTGTTTGAAAAGTAAAATATGTAATTAGAGACAACAGTACGTATGAGTGATAATCTTTGCAGCCAGTGCGCCAGCCAAGTTAACTCATAAACAAATTTCTTTCCGTTTGTGGGGATTGGCATCTTAAAATTTCCTATAATTTTGAACTACCCTAATGCTCACATGTATGGAAAATTTACCCGTGTGTGTGTTTGTGTGCCAGTGTACATGTGTGCAGCTGCACGGTTGAACAGTCAATGGCGGTGTAGCCCAAAAGGCCGGAAGTGCAGTCGGGGAACAACAATTGTATGTGTGTCGTGTCCCGTGTGTGAGTAGATCCAAAGGTGTGAGTGTGAGTGGGAGTGTGTGTGTGTGTGCTAGCCGGCTAAACAAAAGTGGCACAACGAGCTGAACTTGTGGGCGGTGGCAAAAAAACGAAAAACGAACAGAAAAGCCAGCACAAGTTGACATAGAAATTGTACAAACTGAAAATGATTTGTGTGCCCTCCTCGCTCGCATACACAAAAGCAGGCATATATTTGCACAACGGTGGGTCGATTTATTTGGCAAAACCGAAAAAGCGAAGAGACATAGTGGAGAAAAAGACGAAAAGAAATCTTTTGAACAATTATGTCCTTTAAACTGACTTTATTTATTCAATCCTTTTCAATGGCAATGAAAAACTCTTTATAACTGCCATTTAAAATAATGGTCTAAGCAAAATATGTACAGCCATATTGAAATAAATAAATATATTTTAAGTATTTGTATTATTAACAATACTAATCTGCATTTTGGATCAATCAATTTATACCATTAGAGCTTGATTAATGTTGTCATTGATATAAATTTGCTTTTCAATTTATCTTTTATTTTAAATAATTTAATGCGACAACAAATGATAATGTCTGAACAAAATTTCTGATTGATTAAATAAATATTATAAAAAATTATATTTATATATAATTCATTCAGTACGCATATATATATATTTTAATTACATAGATGTTATTTTTAATATATATACATATAGATATATATATGTTCTGAATACATTTTTGTAATAGGCTTGCAATTAAATTTATCTGCCCATTTGCTTAACAATTTAATAAAATAAATTTAAAAATATACAAATGTGTATACGAAAAGTATACATAATAATAAACATTTTTTAATAAATCAACTATGGCTTTGAATACACAAGTAAGGTAAAACGGTAGCTATAAACTTAAGTCCTAGTAATTAAATGAAATCCACTGCAATTAAGTCCACTAATTTGTCTTTTTTTTATAATTTTCATGTTCGGTTTTAGCTCACTAATTTTCCTCGAAAAATAAATCACAAACATTGGGAGCCGAAATGCGTTCGGTTTGGAGCGCAGCCACTGTGGATGTGGCTGTGGATGTGGTTCTGTTCGAGGTCCAGGGTGGTCCAGGTACTGATCCTGCCAACCAGTGAGCCACAACCGAGACAGACAGCCTGCCGCAGGGGGCGTGGCCGGGGCAGTGGCGGGGGCGGGGGCGGAGGCGTCGGGCAGACAGTTGAAATTGCAAATTATGCTTTCGGTAGAAGGGCGACAAAACGGCGGCGGGGAGTGCACTGTCTGCGCTCTAATTATGCAAACTACCTGCTGTTACTCAATTAATCTTGATTACGTTTGTGTTATCCAAATACAATTATTTTGGTATTAATTACAGTGGCCAGGAGGCGAAACAGGCAGACCAGACGGAGGACCACTTTTACGAGCGGAAATTGTCTGGATCGCCGAGTGAAACAAAGCAGAGCACCACCCACGAAAACCCCACAAAATCCACCAGCCACCCAACAGATTGCCTTGGTCAGGGCACACAACGCATTAGAGGCAAGTGTTTTGGCCATTTTTTTTCTTTTTTGGTTTTTGGGGAATTCGCATTCACACTTCCCATTCGTATGCCATTCGCATTCGACGCGACCTTTCCAAGCAGCCTACTTTAGTATACATGAAGGTGAGTGGGTGGTGGCCGATTTCCTAATTAGCCTAGGAAACAAAGTATCGAAATGCGTGCGTTTGAGTGGCTTCGTGGAAAATTGGGAGTGAGTCCGAGAGGGGCATTGACCTTAATTAGCAGCCTGCGAAAATGAGAGTTAAGTGCCTTGAATTGGACTTGGGGGATAAGCCAATGCATAATCCTAATGGTGACCCACTGAATATAGAGACTGAGAGTAGCTGCTATAAATGCCTGCTTTAAGGTAATAAATAAACCTACCCAAATTCTGGGTAATTCATGATTGTATTTAACACATCAATACTATACAAACAAAAACACATCTTAACGAGAAAAACAAGTTGTGTCGATCGCACCTTCAACATATAAAATATCTGATATCAAATTTTGTAACGATAAATGAATAAGCATTCGAAGAAAAAAATACACTTTTTAAATCTCAAGCAGCCATTTATAGTTGATTCCTTCTAGGCTCCAATGAAACCGTCAATGAATAAGTTAAACAATGCAATGTCATATCCGTATAATGAGCGTCAATATATTGTTATTGACATTTCGCTTATTATTTCTGGGACTGAACAATGCTCGATAGCATCGATAATATCAAACGTGGCCACCATCAACAGCCAAAACTATCGATAGTGCACACTATCGAAGTTTTACCATCGCTACCCTCACCAGAAAGTTAAAAAACGCATTACTTAAATCCAAATGAAACCGCGATATTTGAATTTATTCGAAATATTTCATGTCGTGATAAATGATTTGAACACATTCCTTGCGGGCGCGATGGGCTACGGACCCCTCAATCACCCTCCTCACGTCCTTCAGTTTCAATTTTGGTGTCTGCCTGGAGCGGATCAGGGTAGAGATGACATTGGGTTTCTTCCACTTCAGATAGGATGGCATCAGAGACCTCAGCGAGATGGTGGGTCGATTCTTGTCCTCCTCCACATAATTGGCTACCGTGAGGACCAGGCGGTTAAGCCGCAAATTGATGGCCGTCAACCAAAATGAAAGTAGCCCTAAAGTTGTCTCCTGGGGAGTAGAATGGACGTGGGCTCTAATAAATGTGTCTTTGTTGGTGACTCGACAATCTGAGAAACCTTGGGGAGGACCGGGATTATCTCTTTGTCCGGCTTCTTCGGCGACTTCTCCTCCGAAATCTCCGAGGGTTCTGGCTCCATAGTCAAATTGAACATCATTTCTAAGAAGAAGCGCTCATTCGATTCAGTGCTAGCAAGATTTCTTTTGGAACTCATAGCAAAATATTACAAATTTCGTCTGCAAAATAACGTTAGAAAATTTCGTTGAAAAAATGCTGTTGTTCTTAGGTCCGGACACACAAAAATGTTAGTGTTTGCCTGTGATGAACAATTGACAGCAACTTGACAATTAAATTGTGAGGACAAAGCACTCTGAGGTGAAAAAAAACCTTAACTGAATAGAGTTTTAGCAAAACAAAGGTGGCAATAATGTTTACCAAATAATAATGGGACCAAAAACATGACAGTTGCAATCATATGTTTAATAAAATTTTAAGAAATGCTGTCTTTTTATGAAACAAATATTTCCTATTGATTTTTAGAATATAAATGAGACTAGTGAGACATAAATTTGAAGTTATAATATATATTTTTGTATTAGTAGAATAAATTCAACTCTTATTTTCTCTAATGTTTGTATTCGTTTGAGTGGCGTTCCTAGAATTTTTTGTCAACTATATAAATTAATGCAAATCACTCGGTGGCCCCTGAAAGCTGAAAGCTTACACTGTGCTGTCAGGTTCGATTTTCTCTTTTCCTGCATTCCGGGAAAACTGTCTGCCCGAGTCCTGCTAAAGTCCTCTAGGGTGAACCTTCGTGAAAAAAAAATCCACATTTGAAATATAAATCTAGATATTTTACTTAAGAGGCAGGGTTCGTAGAAAGTTTTTCTATTAACTACTGTAGAACCGTGAAAATTTAATACCTATAATGTATTTAAATTAAAAATAAACATAATCTGATAATGAAAAATTAAACAAAAACCCGATCTCAACGAGGCAAAAGTCGTAACAATCGCACATCAAACATTCAAATTTTGAAATATCAAATTATGTTAATAAAAGCAATTATATTTTTGGGTAAGCAATTACAAGAGTTTAAATCGTTTTTATTCGATCATTTCTTTTCAACGGAAAGCCGATTGAATGCTAAATAACTTAAGACATGTATAGTCTTCAGTTTTCGAGAAACTCACTCTCTGCGCGATTCGTTACTACGTTAATTAACAACACATATAATATATATACAATGGCCAAAATGCTCAATAACGAATGAACAGCATTTTATTTAACTCAAAAGCTAAAACCATGTTGAACAAGTAATAAGAATATATTGAGAAATACCAAAGTATATTGCTATAACGAGGGCTTGTAAGTCTACGTTGGGCATAACGCATGAAGGTCCACCCCACTGGCATGTCCATTGTCCTTTTGGCCGGTTTTGTGTGGCCCGTCTGCCACGAGCTGTTCAATAATAAATACATGAATAGATAAACTAGGACGTGGATCGGACAAGGACGAGGAGTCGCAACAAGACAGCATCTGGCAGACTTGGCACGTCCGCCTTATACCCAATATATTTAATATACGATAAGCATGATAAAAAAAAAAAACATTTGGAGAGAGATGAAAAAAGTAGAGATTGTTGCTGGCGGAGAGGGAAACCTAGCCTAGGTCACCGGATTGTCGCTCTCGGGGATGACCAGGTCCTCCTCCCTGATCTTCTTGGGCAGCTGCTCCTCCACCTGAAGTCGGCCGGAGCGCTGGAACTGGTAGTTGAAGTACTCGTACACATACAGCTGCTCCTTGTTCACATAGTGAAAGGCCACCGGATACTCCGACAGGCAGTCCATGCACTGCGAAAGTGGTTAATCAAATGCTTATTGATTTCAATCAGGGATCGAATAAATGAGGTCTTGAAAACCATTATGTTTGGGTTATCAACTGCAGAAAACAATCAGTCTTTTGGTTGTGCGTCTTACTTTAACCAAGTTTAAATAAAAACTAAACTCCTATGATATATCTTTTTATACCCTTGCAGAGGGTATTATAATTTCAGTCAGAAGTTTGCAACGCAGTGAAGGAGACGTTTCCGACCCTATAAAGTATATATATTCTTGATCAGCATCACTAGTAGAGTCGATCTAGCCATGTCCGTCTGTCCGTCCGTCTGTCCGTCTGTCCGTCTGTCCGTCCGTCTGTCCGTCTGTCCGTCCGTTTATATGCAAACTAGTCTCTCAGTTTTAAAGCTATCTGCATGAAACTTTCCCAAAAGTTGTCTTTCTATTGCAGGTAGTATATAAGTCGGAACGAGCCGGATCGGACGACTATAGCATATAGCTCCCATAGGAACAATCGGAAAAATAATTGAAAAAAAATTATAACTTTGCTGTTTTTTAATTTTTTGTTTAGTTCTTCGACATATAGCAATGGTTAAATATTTCAGAATTATGGTTTAAATTTCATCAAAATCGGACGACTATAGCATATAGCTCCCATAGGAACAATCGGAAAAATAATTGAAAAAAATTATAACTTTGCTGTTTTTTAATTTTTTGTTTTGTTCTTCGACATAAAGCAATGGTTAAATATTTCAGAATTATGGTTAAAATTTCATCAAAATCGGAAGACTATAGCATATAGCTCCCATAGGAACAATCGGAAAAATAATTGAAAATAATTATAACTTTGCTGTTTTTTAATTTTTTGTTTAGTTCTTCGACATATAGCAATGGTTAAATATTTCAGAATTATGGTTAAAATTTCATCAAAATCGGACGACTATAGCATAGCTCCCATAGGAACAATCGGAAAAATAATTGAAAAAAATTATAACTTTGCTGTTTTTTAATTTTTTTTTAGTTCTTCGACATATAGCAATGGTTAAATATTTCAGAATTATGGTTTAAATACGCAAGTAAATCATAATTTTAATGTTTTCAAAAATATTTAATTCTTGCGATAGCTGCAAGGGTATATGAACTTCGGCTTGCCGAAGTTTGCTTTCTTTCTTGTTTTTGTGTGAACTCTAAAAACCCAAAAACAACACATTAAATTCGATTTCTAATTTAAAATTGCTCATAAGCAATGCTTTCTCAACCAATTCACCAATTCACCACTGTTTGTAAAAGAAAAAATTGGCCTATAAATTAGTTTTTTTTTCAAACTCGAGCAGGGATCGATCTGTTTAATCTTTTTAGATTATAAATTAAATTATAAATTTCTTTTTCTTTAAATTTAAAAACGATATTTTGGTATGTTACTTAATGTTATTTCATTTTCAAATATTCTTGAAAATGTGCAAGAAGTTTGAATTAAAATCTGGAAAGATTTTTAGGTTGAGTGTCCACCGGACTAAATAAGTAGCTTTAAGAAAAAATGTTTGTTTTGAGGCGAGAAGGTTTTTGAGAGTTTGCTTTAAGCATATTGAACAATAAAATCTAATTTTCATTTAAGCCTAGGAAGTATTTAATAAAAATAATATTTCCTTTGGAAAGTGTAGAATTAAATTCAGATTTTTTAATTTGAAAGCTAAATTAAGTTAGAGAAAACTTTTGGGGATGTCCCCTGAAATAACCTCGAAAGCGTTTCCAACAATTTTCTCGACCTCTTTTTATTTTTATATGCTTTATATTACTTGTTTTAAAATGGCATAAGTATGTCCGAAAACTCACCGCTCGCGCGTTGTAGTAGGCGTATTTGTACAGCCAGAAATCCATGCCCACGTTTCCGGAGAGCAGAGCTCCATAGGGAACCACCGGGTAGAAGCGATTGCGGAGCTGCTCGTCGCGGGAATCGCCCGCCTTCACGCCGAGATTGAACAGGCACTTGCCCATCTCCACGTCCTCGGCGTGGTTGTCCTCCTGGCGGCATTTGGCGGTGTCATTGAGGCCCTCGGCGAAGATCCTTAAGGCCTCGCGACTGAGCACGTAGCCACTGCCTCCGGACATGTACGACTGGCCAATGGTGTAAATATGTAATTCGAAAATGGTATAAAGTCGGAAGTAGCCACTTTTAGCTCACCTCGTTCTTCTGGTGCGTGCCGACCATCTTGTAGTTGAATCCGAAGTAAATTGGCATGTTCGGGGAGTAGGGATAGAGCATATAGCGCAGGTTTTCCAGAAAGACGTAACTATCGAAAGGAGAAAATATTTATTTTCACTACTTCACTACTTTTCAATAAATTAATTTCAACATACTTAATTAGGATAAGCTTTAATTTGCAATGCAGACAATTAAAATTATTAATTATATGACTTCCAAGGCTCTTTACATTTAAAAAGTGGCAGTTTTACACCTTTGTATTTTTATGACTGAATAATCTATGGAAATAAAAAATTACTTTTGCTTAGCTTAAAAAAAAATGTATGTATAAAAAAAATTTTGATTCAAATCTACTAGATTGAATTTGTTCTAACTAATTTGAAAACCGTTCTTTTAACTCCGGCAGATGTCGCCAGTAATACTATTCGCGCAGCAAACCATAAAGTCGAAAGCGTCATCTGTTGTGAAAAGCGTACATGAAGGCATATCTGACAGCTTGCAATGACGTCACCGATTATGTTTGACTCTCATTTCTTAATAACTTGTGAGATAATGGTTCGATTTTAAATATCTTTGGTGTTTCGATATATATGGCCTCTAACATTTCTCTAGAGAGTTTTGCGGCTTGTGGATATTCGAAATAAGATATGGCCCCTTGAAATTCTCTGTACCTCTCTCGTAAAATTAAAAATCACGAAAAAGTTAGCCTACGTGTCGTCGTCCGCCTTGATGAACCAGTCGGCCTCGTCGCCCATCTGCTCGTGGATGTGGGTGAAGGCCTCCTTGGTCTTGCCCCAGAGCACCTCGTATCGGTCCGGCTTGGTCAGCACCACGGTGGGCAGCTCGTCGTCCGGCTCGGAGGTCATGAAGTAGATCTTGTTGCAGCGCTTGCCCCAAGTGCGAAGGACGTGGATGGCGCGGGTTTTGTGATATTTCGGGGTGGTGAGGACCCAGCACAGAATCCTCACCTCCCGATGGAGCTTCTCGGCTAGGGTTTCATTGCCCAGCTCTGCCGAGCCAATGGAATTCGTATCCCTAGCCATGGGCACAGCGCCGGCGGTGAGCATCATCACATCCCAGTAGGCGAAGAGGACGATCAGCATGCTGCCCATCAGCAGGATCAGCAGCACCAGCCGATGGATAGGCATTCGCCGGGCCGGACGACCCCTTTCGAAGCCCAGTGTGATGTGTTCCCCGTCCATTTAGCCACTGAGTCGCGGAATCGGAGGCACTGCCAACCAACGGAAGCCTTATCGCCGAGGAGCGGCGGCCAAGATAAGACAAAGAACTGATACCCGGATACTGAAACATCGAAGAGCAAGTTAACTCCATTAGACTAATAACCAGAGCGAGCGAGATGGGGAACAGTAAAAAAAATTATCTGTCAATTCAAAGTTTTATATTTAATATTTAAATGAAATATTAAATCATAATATAAATACAATGCATATTAAAATATTTTAGTTAATGTGAAAAATACCAGATTAAAAAACTATTTATATTTGATTTAATAACATGTTTTTGAAGTTAAATGTGGTTTAAATTTAAATTACATTTTCAGGTGTTAAAATTAATTCCGAAAATAGTCAAATGAAAAATTTTAATATTTTCATATTAAAAATAACTATAAACCGCAATGGGTGAAAATCAAATCGAAAAATATTAAAGTTGGGTACAAAATATTTGGATTTACTACGTTTACCAGTGTATGAACGGCAGTCCACGTAGTGACGAATCGCACCAAGAGTCTGCGGTGGGCGACTTCTAGTTCATAGAATTTTCATCTTGTTTTCCACGCTAACACTAAAAGTTATGCTTAGTATGTTTATAATTTTATTTTTCAACATGCGTTGTACAATTAAAAAAGCTTTGAATTGATTGATATATTAAATCTATATTAATAAAGGAAAGGCAAGAGTTTTTGTTGTTTGTTTCTTAACAACCGATATGTCTAAAAATCTATTAAAATTAACTTTTCAAAGGTTTCATTAACAAGATTTCAGACAAAAAGGCTTTTTGAGAAAAAAAGAAAACAAATCCTAGAAGAAACTGATATATGTTTTAATTTAATTAAGTAAAACAATGTACGTTTAAAAAACTGTGCATATGAAGAACAAGCTGTGGGGTACCTGACAGTCCATTATAAATTTGCATAGTATAAATTTGCATAAGCTCTTGAATGTTAATGGGTTAAAGAGTTAGTGCGGTGAAAATTCAAATAGTTATCTCATCCACGCTGAAAATTCTTTGCTTCCTCTAAGAGCAATTTTTGTTTAATACTGATAAGGTCAGCCTACCAATATGATTATTTTGGTTTGTTTAAAGAATAATAATTAACCTAAATATGAATTTTTTTCTGAACGAATAAAAAAACATATTTGTAGGGACAAGAAATAAGTCTTCAAAACAGAGCTTCTCAACTTCTCAAATAAATTGACTTAAAATGTAACAAATAGACTAAAATTCATTTAATTTATGTAACAACTTTAATTTAAAAATTAACCTCGCAGGTTTTGGGTATTGCCCTTTTAAAGGAAAACCACAAAACCAAAAAACGTTATTGTAAATTTTATTTTCTGTTGTTTTTTATGATATAAGCTGAAAAAATAATAATTTTATTCTAAGAAATACTGCACTACCTTATGTGGAAAAGCTTTAAAGAACGAATGGAGCTAGTCCCTCGAACTAATTGTTTACCACGTCAGCTTAAAATTTATTTAAATTCTGCCCAGCATAGTTCATTAATCAAAACACTTTGGACAAACACACAGAGCAACTAGCTCCTCGAAAGCGTGCAGGGGCAAAAATAAAAAATGTATTTAGAAATAATAGAAGGGAGGGAGGGCAAACGTAAAACCCGAAAACAGTTGAAGTTGAGAGAATCTTTCAATTAATCATGAGCGACATGTGGTCGTTGCTGGACGCTTTGAGGAGGGGCCGTGGACTTGGGGGCGTGGCACGGAGCGGTGCGGTGCGATACCGAAGACCGCCAAGAACGCGAGAAAAATTATATAGCGCATACGCCCTGTGGGACCCCCCAAATCCCGGCACTCGGATGCTCGCGTGCAAACAAATGGCTGCCATAATAGCGACGAGGCGGCATCCTGGTCGCATCCTGAACGCTTCCCTGGACGCCTCCAAAATCCTCCCACTGGCAAACAAATTCCCATTAATAAAATAAAATGCAGCCAGCGGTGGAGATGGAGCAGCGGCTAAGAATGAAAACTATTTGGCATTGTGGGCGTGACCCGCTGCGATTTCCCAATTCCTATTCCCGTTCCCAGTGACCAGTGACCTGTGCCCAGTGCCCAAACAAATACAAATTTTTCCAATAAAAGCGGCGGCTCGCAATTTTTTATTTTGGTTTATATTCATATTTTTTTGTGCTTTTTTCCCTGTCAAAATTAGTTTTGGCCAGGGCAAACAGTTCAGCGAAATGCAAATAGAAGTGTGTTGGGAGAGAGGTGGCAGGCCTTTCTGGCCTTTCTAATAAATGCCTTTGACCTTTCGATAAAGTGACCCACATGGAACCACTGACCATGGGTGGCGGTCAATGTCCTTAAAGGGTTTCTGTGTCCTTGTAATTTTAAATCAAAATTTAAGATCCATTATAACTTTATTTAAAAGCGGTGAATGAGAGAAAAGGGTGGGATAAAAATGTAAGCCTAATAAAATAAAAAGAGAGTGGGATAAATCAGCATGGCATATATTTTTAGGAAAAAAAAACCTAGAAATAGGATAAATGAGTTTTTAACCCTTCATTATACATTTTCAAAGAAATCGTGAAAAATATGAAATATATAAATTGATCTTAGCTCCCAATTTCAAATTTTAAAATTAAAAATAGCTCTTACTCCAAAATTTTTAAATAAAAATAGCTCTTTGTATTTATTTTTGTACGCCACAAAGAAACTATAGTTTACTTTCAAGCGCAGTAACTATATTCCCTTTTTTTATAAGCGAAAAAAAAGTTTATTGGTTTAAATTATAAATTAAGGGGAAGGTGTATTGGTAAAAGTGATAAATAAAGAGAAAAATATTGAGTCGCAGCTAATATATGTGAATATCGCGCTTAAAACATTTTTGAACTACATTTAAATGTGCAACCCTTTTTTATTTGTTAATTGAAGTAGTTTGTCGACTTGTAACTTATACCAGGCAATGTTATTTGTAATCCAATAATAACATTATATTTAAATTTCTATGACAACAATTATAATATTTCAGGGTCCCTGATTTTAGGTAAACCAGTTTTGGTTTTTTAGTTTTGACATTTTCGATAGCTGAGCTGCACTTCAATCAATGAAACAATGGATGCTCGATCCATTGCCATTTCCCCTCCTTTCGGTCTTCTTTTTAGCTGCGGCACTGGCCGACAATCAACAGTTCCTTTCCATCTGGTCCTCATCGCATCAATGCAATACGAATTCGGCCAACCAGCAACGGGAGCTGCGATGGTCGGGCGGTCAACTGCAAACTGTGGAAGTCATACAGATAAAAATAAACCAAAGTCAAATGTATAACTGCAGATTTTTTGTAATAATGTTAGCTTTTGGATTTTACAAGCGCGCCAAGGCAAACGCCATTTGTCTCGCTGTCCGACTCCATCTCTCTCCCCCTCTCACTCTTCCGTCCCTTGGCCATCTCTTTCTCCTTTTGTTGGCCAACTGTGTATGTAAATACGAGTGTGTTCTCGAGTTGCATTGTTTGCAATAGAGGTGGCCGCGTGAGAAAGCCCAACTTGAATGGAATAAGAAAAAAACAAACCCAAAATATGATTGGAGCCGATGGGGACACTTAAAGCTAAACAAAAATCATAAATCATTTGCTAAAATAATAATATAAGGCAACAGCTTGATGTAGATTAACAAACTACAAAAGAACGGTCGCTGTGTAACCATCCCAATATTAAATATGTTAATGACTAATAAAAATTGAAAAAAAAATAAAGAAAAATATCGTTTATTAACAATCTTAGATATATTTGTAGATATCCCAACCTAGATAGGGTATATTAAAGCCGTAGTATTTTAAAACTGAAATAAAGGGAAAAAGCCTATTTTATTGTTTTAATTTTTATTTTTAGAAAATGTTTTGATAAAACAATGCAGCTTCTCCTTTACTCTTTCCTATTTCTCTCTCTCTCTCTCTCTCTCTCTCTCTCTCACCCCACCATCTCCATCGATTCCACACACACACACTCACATAGTGAGACATCAAGCGTGCAAACATTTGCCATATTTTTGTAATCAAAGTAAACAATCCACTTAACCCAACACGGACATGCAAAGCGACTGCCAGCTGGCCATCTCCCTGTCCCTCTCTGACCCTACCCATCTCGCTCCCAACCAATGGAACGTCTTTCGCAATTTCGTTTCAATTTTTTTGGGTGGGAATGGAGGGCAACGACACTGCTGCTGCAGTCCACATCCAACCACTTAACCCACTCAACTCGCTGAAAAAAACTAAGGCACACTTAAATGTTCCTTTAATTTAAAATAAGGTTGATTAAAACATGTCAAGTTCTAAAAATAATATATAAATAATATATAATAACCATTTTTAGAAATTGACATGTTTAAATCAATTAATTTTAATAATAGATATATATTATAATATATTATATATATTATTTATTATATTATTTATTTTAAGTTACTTAAACTCTTATTTTTTCCAGTTATAAGTTTACAATAGCCTTTGTTTTATAAACTACTATTACTAATTTGCAATTTTTAGTTTTGATTAATAGCAGATTGGTAATTAAATATTATAATAGGTATATAAAAGTTTTAGCAGACTGAAATCATAATTCAGCTATATAACTTTTCTTTTGAAACGTATACTTAATATCTGTTGAGTTGAGAGCAACGTATATTCTTGGAATAACATTTTCTTTAGGAAGAGATTAAATGTGGTTTTAATAATTATTTTTTGATTTGCTGAGCTGTATATATTGAGCTATATATATATACCGGGGACAGCTAAAAATCATAATTCAGCTATATAACTTTTCTTTTGAAACGTATAAGTAATATACGTTCAGTTGTTAGCAACATATATTCTTGGATTTGCTGAGCTGCATATATTGAGCTAAATATATATTGAAATCGGCTAAAAAATCATCATAGTAATAAAATAACTTTTCTTTTGAAACGTATACTTAAATCAATTGGTACATTTTCTTTAGGAAGATATGTATTAAGTGTGGTTTTAATGATTCTAT